GAACAGAATTTGTATTGATGAGGTTTTGGCGTTTGAAATGAGCGTGAGACTTCACGTGATCGATGTATATATACCACCAGCTTCTCTCCTTAATATGTTTCTAGCAGCTCTTATTTATTTTGTGGAATGTGGTGGAGAGAATCCGGAAGTTCCCATATCTCTTTGCTACATCAGGTTGTGGGCCGGTTGAAAGCCTGTTACTGTTAGGGATGAATGCAAGTCGAGAATTGAGATATGACGAGTCAAAATAGGCCCGGAAAATCTGAGGCTGCATTTGAGATACACAAGACAACCCACCGCCCCATCGGTGAGTATCTAGATAGTCTCCCATCTGCGAGGGATGTCTTAAAATGTGTCCAGAATTGCAAGGGAAAAGGGAGAGACAGATAGATAGTATCCAAATGTTCCCACATGAGTATGGATCAATGAGAAGCATATCGTTATTATTATTACTACTTGTTTCTTCTATCTAGGTCTATCTACTGGACAACCTTGTGGATTCTCTCTATTTGTCCTCTGCATAAATAATGACGATGATCATGCCAACAGTAGAAAGTCTATGCAAGCCCTTACAGGCACTGCCACTATTAGGCCAAATGGTGTGGTCGACTTTTCAACTCATTTGTAGTTTTTCTTCTCTTTTCTTTTTCTTTCTGTAATATTCTTCAATCTTTTAAACATGTTGGGGAGTAGGCGTTGTTGATCTCTCGTTCCAACCAAAAGCCTTACATAGCTAGGGCACACGCGTTCTCTCTCAGCTGTAAGCAGCAGTCGATAACGATGTACTCTGATGAGTCTTGAACGGCGAGGAAAGGAATGCAGATGACGAAGTTTATGTGGAAGTTCTGATCCTGGAATGAATTGAATCTCAGTGGGATTATTGTTTTCTGCGAGAAAGGGCGCAAACATTCCATCATTCCTGGCCCAACGTCGTGCCTCTTTTGTAGCTGATAACATCTCGACCATGTGGGAAATGACAGGGAGGAGGTTGATCATATCAATTCATCATTCTTGAATCCCGACTGATCTTCTCTTTGTTCTGCAGATCGAGACGTGCTGTAGCCCAATTTTTCGTGAAGTCTCGGGCCTATACAGCATTATTCGGTGTGCTTGCTGTTACTGTTGCTGTTGCTGTTGTTCTCTACCTTTTTAGACACATCTTAAAACACCGAATCTTGCAGCCTTCTTTAAAGCAGTAATGCTCTTCCATCTGATTTTCTTCTGATCTTTTCTCTCCCTCACTCACTTTTCCTCTCTTGATAATCTAATCGCGTGGGGTCCTCTTTCACCCTCTCCTTGCCTTCCAATCCGTGCTGCTCAGTGACATTCGCCTGCATCGACTATCACATTTCTTTTTCCCGGACCGCATCGATCAATTCAGCCCAAGGCTGATTCACCTATCCTCCTGTCCTTCTCGATTTCTGACTTCTTGCGGTCCTTGGTCTTCCCTCTTTTCCCCTTGCTGCTTGTTCTTGCTAAGTAGCTTGACCTTAACGCTTTAACGGATATTACTCGTATTATCCATTCCGATCCACAGCGACAACGATACCTGACTACAGCATCCAGGCACTTCTATTTTCTTTTCATCTATTCCACTAGTCCGTGGCAGTTCTTCCCCGTCGTTAGCTCAGATTATCATTTCGAGAAGGGCAAAAAATAGCGCAGTCTGGTTGATCCCCCTGCATTTGTATTCCCCAGCTCTCGGTCTCCATATGCTCCACTTTCTACTACCTATATGAACTCTCGCTAAGTCCCAGCGTGACACGGTTCTCCAGACTGTCAGCTTGAGTGGGTCGACTGTTCGAACCTCGTCGCTCGGCCCCGTATTGCCGACAGGGCGATTCTGTCCCTCCTTCGCAGCTATGAGTGTATGTAATCATTCAAATCCTGATTGTGAACGAGCCATTTCACCTCTCAATGCGAGGAGAACATATAGCGAAAAGGAAATAAAAAAGCACAAGCTGACTGTATATCAAAGGACGCCCAGGATTCAAATTCTGGTAACCTCAAATGGGACAACTCCAGTGATGTCCTCCAGGGCATCATGGGGACTCGGGTAATGCCGAATGCTTCGCCTGGCGATCACCCGGCAGACGGCTCGACAGCTTCCTCTCACGTCGCGTTAGGCGACCCGGCCTCTTTTCTTGGTATTCAATTCGGCTCCGACCTGGCTGTTCTCCCTCATGAACATCCATCCATCCTCCACCCTTGGCTTCCATGTGGCAGCAATCACCCGTCGCCCTCGTCGTTGTCCCCAGCTCCGAACTACTTGGAGTACTACCAGTACCATACGCCTCAGTTGCTCAATCACCAGGATGCTTGGAATCCGCTCCAGGTGACTGGAGTCCCTCTCAACACGTCGGCTTTCCATCTGCAGCCCATAGGAAAGCCCTACCAGACCAACGACTATATTGAACGCCGGTGTTCCACCGGGCAATACAGCAACCCCTCGGAAAATGATAGCCAGTACAACGGGCTTGCGTCGGGTGATTCAGGATACGGGAGTCGAAGCTGTACCACGCGCTCGATAGCTGCATCTTCCTTCGCGGTAGACTCGGCTTGCAGTCCTCATTTGGGACCACATGAGTATGAACTGGACGATAGAACGTCAACATTCGATCTGGGGCCATCCGCCTATGGTGAGGTCGCGGAGAAGACCGAACAACGCAATGCGCCTTGCGATTACGAGATTAAATGTGATTATCCCGACTGCAACTGGAAAGGAAAATGTCCATCCGACAAAAGGTTTGTCTCCGACAATTACGGGCCGTGCAGACCATGCTGAGACTGACGGGCATAGGAAACATGAGGCACGACATCGGAAGCTGTACAAATGCGACCAGCCCAACTGTGGCCGCAAGCAAGGCTTCGGAACGATCAATGACCTAGCGCGGCACAAGAAATGCGTCCACAAACAAGAACCGGAACGTGGACCTAAGATCCTATACTTGTGTTTTGGGCGCAACTGCCCCCGGAGACATAAGAGATGGCCTCGACTGGATAACTTCCGTCAGCACCTCTTGCGAATGCACGGGGATGAAGACGCTGATGAGCTTCTGAAGAGGTAAGATAACTCTCTCCAGTTGGCCCTCTAACACGGCGATATGATATTGAAGTGAATCTAGGTCGCACGAGTGGTACAATAGTATCACACAAGCGAGTGAATTGACGCTTGCTGCCATTGACCCTGTGTTTGAGAAAGACCAATCTCCAGATGTGCAGCTGCCGACTGAAGAAGACTGCGTGATGGAGGATCTGAGTCAGCCTCCGTGTATTTCAGACGTCGCGGACGAGACGCTCACCGGAGCGAGATCGCCAGAGAACGAAGATCGCTTCTTGAACCCGATCAAAGACGCCAGGGAACAGGAACGAGATCAAGAACCAGTGGACGCCGCACTCATGGCTACTTCAGATACAGTTCATCTGCCGAGCTTCGATTCGCCCGATTTGGCTTCAGCACTTGACCAAAAGCCGCCAATCCACCAAAACAGCAAGAAGAGCGAGTACGTGGAAGAGTTTATAGCGGACGCTGCGACTAACATGATCAATGCACTGACGAAAATGATGAACTCCAACCACCGACGGCGTTCCCAGCCGGGAAACGACGTAGACGACCTAACCAGCCATAGTACCGAGCTGTGCAGTCCAAAGAAGGAAATTCTCCAGCGGATTTTAACTGCGGCGTTGGACTGTCTATCTGAAAAACCCGAGCCATCTGGCGACAGTACGTCCAAAGTACCTGAGCGAGAGCCGGACAAGAAAGACTGGATCCAATGCGGAGTCTGTGCGAAACGAACCCGTTTGCGGTGCGAAATGAAGTTTGTATTGACCTTCCTGGCTGCCCTATATTATTCTAACACCCTGCGCTAGGAAGCACCAGAAACGCCACGAGCGACCCTACGGTTGCACATTCCCTAAGTGCAGCAAGACATTCGGTAGCAAGGCGGACTGGAAACGGCACGAGAACTCGCAGCATTATCACATCCAAAGCTGGTACTGTACCTTGTGCGATCCGACGAAGGGGAAACGATACGTGAGGTGGTATTATCGTCAAGAGGTCTTCGTGCAGCATTTAAAAACACATCATCAGGTCGATAATGAAGCGGTGAGAGTTGCGGTCGCGAGTAACCGCGTGGGCGAAAATGGACAGTCCCGATTTTGGTGCGGCTTCTGTCGAGAGATTATTCCTCTTCACAGCCAGGGCCGGGAAGCGTGGAATGAGCGCTTCGACCATATCGATTTTGAACACTTCCGTAGGGGGCAGCGGATCGGAGACTGGGTGCACTGTTGCCATTTGAACGAGGATCGAGAACACGAGGAATCAAAGGGAAGAAACATGGCCGGTGGAAACGAGAATGAGAGCCCGTTTGCCACAGATGACCATTCTGAGAATGAAAATGACTGCTGCAGTGATTGTTCATCGGACACTGTCCTTGAGGAAGATGGAGTAGCTCTCGCCCAGGAGACCTTGCAGCAGATGGTTTCTTGCGAGAAAAATTCTCCGTCGAAGAGGACGTTGAAACTGGAGGATGCTTCCAAGCCTGGGCAATCACGAAAACGAAAACTTGACGCGTTTGGGCCGAGGGTAGATCCATATCAGCCCCACGCAGACGGCGGATCCAAAGCAAAGAGAAAGACCAGGGCTGGTATACCGCTACCACACGCAGGGAGCTCGCAGGTGGCCCGTCATGCCAAGTTCGATAACTGACAGGACTTTCACGACAAGAGGCAGCGTTCTGGTTGTAGCATCAAGGACAGACCCTTCCCGTGATGTTCATCCCATATATGAAGCACAAGTTATACATGATTTCATGTTATATTATGGCATTTTCAAAGCAGAAATGAGCGAAATACCATTAGCGCAATCAAACATCCAACTGAGCATCGAAGATATTTCCATGGCACATGTGAGGTATATAGTACAGTGTAAAAAAAAAAAAGAATAATGAAAAAAGGGAAATGAGACAGAACGAAAAGCCTTAGGAAAGACAGAGATATCATCACTTTTGCGCGTTCGTTAATTCCCTAGCCTTCTTCTCGAGAGCCGCGACCTCTTCTACTGGCCTTTAGGAGGTGCACCATAGCAGAGAGCAAAGCAAGCGAGCGCTACTTACGATTTTTCTCAAACTTGGATTCATCCATCTCAAGCTTCAACCAAGTCCAGTAAATAACCTGGTAGGTGAAAATGGCCCCTAAGAATACTTTGGCGAAGGGACTCGCAAAGGTCTTGTATTGAGCGAGCTGGATCTCAGTTAGCTTGCCGCCCGCAATGCATTTATGTAAAGGATTTCGTCCGTCCCAGGACGGTTGATGTACAAGCATGCAGACATAAAATCTGGCACCTAGAGAAATCACAAGTAGGGGGAAACACTGACCCCTTCTCTGTAAGCACTTGATCCTTTGGAAGCATCGAACCGGGGCCGTGTCGAAGTCAAGGTTCTCCGACCAGATGGGGCAGATCTGAGGAGAAAAGAGGAGGGAGCTGAGAAGCTCTGAGCCACCGAGCGAAAGAGCATTCTGATGTCTTTCCTGATTTATTTCCGCTTTGCTGAATTATATAGGAGAGTATGGAATATATCCTGAAGGCTTAAGAAGCATATCATTTGCCAATGAGGACGAGAAACATCACTGACTCAGCCGTCACATGATATCAAGCGCTGGGTGGTCCCGAGCGGCTCTGCGCCGAATGACGCAAGGCATCAAGCGATAAGCGATGAGGAACATGCGGGGCGAAAATCCATAGACGATCAGCTTTGATGACATGAGGGTTATCATTGATTGTTCCTGACATCGCTATGTTGGTTCATTTGACCGACTTCCTACTGGCAGCCAACCATCGCAGAAAATGGGTTGAAAGCAAGTGAAACTGAACTCAGACATCCATTTTGACTTTAATGGCATTTTTGATGCGATTTACGGACAATTTACACGGTGTTTTGGGGTCTCAAAGGACAGGAGGATGAGAGCACAAACAGCATCCAAAAACTGACTGTTTCCCTAACCGCAAAGTGAGCGTGTGGTGCCGTGGAGCATTCAAGGCCCAGAACGGCACGTGCGTTGCCGAAATGGGCTGGTCAACGGCATGTCGCTAGTCTACAACAGGACTAGTTGTGGCGCATGAGCGCGGCTGTCTGTGTCTTGGTTATGTGTGGCTGGTGCCGGGAAGCAAAAAGGCGTCGCGAGTCTTTCCGCCCTTTCGGTGTATTATTGCTTATTCCACAGGGTCTAATATTGGAGCGGACATGCTGGCTGAGAGCATCGTTGCTGCTATTCCCAGGTGCTCCATTCGTCTGTCAGCAAGACTTTATTGACATTTGCTTCACCTCTTTGGCTGTGAAGAAGTGTTTTCAAGTGACGCGTCTGCAGTTGGTTAGGGAGATTTACCTCACTCGACCTGACCCGCGCGCATTGGCGCTTCGCCGTCGACCCCGTGCGAGAACTACCTCGCAACCCGTCGGCCAGGCCTAACATATCCGAGATTGATGTTTCAATGTCTGATTAATATTTACAAAATTACAGCTGTTTATGATATTGTCTCTTAGACTTTAGCTTGAGGGGAAGGGGGCTTGTTTGGGCTTCGTTACCTTTTGTTCCTCTCACTGGCCCATTAAGCACACTGTTTCTTGGTAAGTCACCGTTCACATCTTCGTCGGCTTTGTCTCAGGCACAGATAAAAGTAAATAATTGTTCCTCTTTTATACGTGGTCCCTATCTGCTGGCCCACGTATGATGTTGAGTTTGCTGACATGGTGACCGTGAGAAGAAGTCATTCTTCACGACGCCCATCGCGACACATCATGCCCCGACCAAAGCGCACTATCGAGGAATTGGCGAACAAGTCGGACTCGGATGACGAGAATTACAGCGATCGTCCAGTTCGCTCTTCTCGCCACTCCGCTCGATCGAAGTCGAGGAAGAAGCCGAAGCCAACGAAGAAGAGAGCGCGTCGCCATTCTGACGACGACATCACATCCGACGACGATGATATTTTAGATGATGCGGACGAGCTTGACTTCGATGATGAGGATGAAGAAGACCCGAACGCCCCGAAGAACGCAAGGGGCCTCACCGCCCGGAGGGCTGCGACTAATCGACCGGTATATAACGAGGGCGATTCCAGCAGCGTCGACGATGATTTCGGAGAGGCGGATGACTCCGAGCCCAACCATTCGCCGAAAAAGCGCAAGAGCACCGTCGTGACATTGAAAGTGAATGCACTCAAGCGCCAGCCTCTCCCTGAAAGCGGCAGGCGGATGACTCGCCGTACTCGTGACCCCTCAGAGGATATCGTCGCCCTGACGAACTCCGGTCGACATATGGAGCTCGTGGAACGAGGTACACACAGTCCGGAGATGGAAGCGCGGAGAAGCCGGCGTGGGTCTCGCGCCTCGAAACGTCTCAATTTTGGGCCTGAAAAGGTCGAAATTGATGAGAAACCGGAAATATTCGAGCCTATAGAGGAGACTTCGATGGAGGTCAAGGCTTCACAACCAGAGATTATGGAAAGCGATCATCAAGGAGATTTTGAGGAAGGTGTTCCATCGGGCCAGGACAGCGGCGATGGTGCAGCAGAAGGCGATGAGGTTGGAGTCGTGCCCGAATCTGAGAACGGCGATGTGAAGCATCAAGAGGAGGACGATGAAGACGACGAGGGTCCAACAACGCGGAGGAGGAGGAGCAGGCGCAGTCGAAGTCTGCCCACTGAAGAGGCGCAGCCGGGCGAAGAGGAGGAAGCACACCCACGTCGTTCCAGCCGCAAGAAACCCAGAAGCTCTCAGCGAAAGCGACAAGATGACGAGAGCGACTTTGAGCCTGAGGAGGACGAGTCGAATGACGACGATGATGAAGAGCTCTCTCAGTCCGGAAAATCACATGGATCACCGCGCAAAGCCAGTCAAGCTCGAGATGAGGAGGAGCAGGATAGCACCGCCGGTCGGCGTCCTGGTCTACGCAAGAGAGCTTCTCGCTCCCGTGGACAGTCCGAAGCACGAGGGGATATTGCCGAGGAGCTTGCTGAGGAGTTGGAAGATCTCAGAGGAGATCGACCCCGCAGAAGGCTTCAGACAGATATCGTTTACGAGAAACCCAGGCGCAGCCGGAAGGATGTCGACTACCGGATCATTCGACCGGATCTCATTCTGCCCATAGAGGAAGCCGAGAATGAGGTCAACGAGTCTCCTTCACGGCGAGGTCGGGGAGGTGGAGGCAGCAGTTGGCAGCGCACACTTTTCCCGACATATGGACCTTTTGGAGGCGGCGGGCCACCAGCGATTCTGGCTCCTCCTGGCGCACCTGCTGCAACAGGGGGTGTTGACAGCGATAGTAGCGACGATGAAGTAATGCAACACCCCAAGGGCGTTGCGACTGGCGGCTCTGTGTCCGGACCTCCAGGTGCAGGTCTTCTTGCTTCAGCGCAAACCCATGGAGCCGATCCTCTACAAGGTCCATCCGGAACACCTGCCAATCTAGGAAAAATCAAGGATAAGCAGGCGCTTGCTGATGCCGATCCCTTGGGTGTTGACGTTAATGTCAATTTCGACAGTGTCGGTGGCCTACAGGGGCATATCGACCAGTTGAAAGAGATGGTTTCCCTTCCGCTCCTTTACCCCGAGATCTTCCAACGTTTTCACATCGTGCCGCCAAGAGGTGTCCTTTTCCACGGACCCCCTGGGACAGGTAAAACGCTGTTGGCAAGGGCCTTAGCCAACAGTGTTAGCTCCGAGGGTCGCAAAGTTACATTCTACATGAGAAAGGGTGCGGATGCGCTGAGTAAATGGGTCGGTGAGGCTGAAAGGCAGCTCCGGCTGCTCTTTGAAGAGGCTCGAAAGACTCAACCCAGCATCATCTTTTTTGATGAAATAGACGGTAAGTGCTCGCGTCGAGTCCGTGGCTTTTATGTTGCTAACGCTCATCTGCTCTGCAGGACTGGCGCCCGTGAGATCAAGCAAGCAGGAACAGATCCATGCCTCCATCGTGTCGACCCTGTTGGCTTTAATGGACGGCATGGATGGCCGCGGCCAAGTGATTGTCATTGGAGCTACAAATCGACCGGACTCTATTGACCCTGCTTTGCGTCGTCCTGGCCGCTTCGATCGCGAGTTTTACTTCCCGTTGCCTAATACGGAAGGTCGGCGTGCAATCTTGGATATCCATACCAAAGGTTGGGATCCACCTCTCCCTGATCACATCAAGGACGAACTGGCCGAGATCACGAAGGGCTATGGTGGAGCCGATCTCCGTGCTCTTTGTACCGAGGCTGCTCTCAACGCAGTCCAGAGAAGATATCCGCAGATTTACAAGTCAGATCAGAAGCTTCTCATCGATCCCAAGAAGATCGATATCACTCCGAAGGATTTTATGCTGGCTATTAAGAAGATCGTCCCCTCGTCTGAGAGATCCGCCTCCTCCGGTGCTACTCCTCTACCCAAGACCGTTGAGCCTTTGCTTCGTCGACCATTATCCGATATCAAAACCATTCTGTCCGAAATACTCCCACAAAGAAAGAGGCTCACAGCTCTCGAGGAAGCTCAATTTGAGGAACCCGAAGGGCCAAAAGGCTTTCGCCGTGAGCAGATGCAGCAAGAATTTGATACCTCCAGAGTGTACCGTCCCAGAATGTTGGTGCGTGGGCCTTTCGGCATGGGCCAGCAACATCTTGCAGGCGCCATCCTCCACCATTTCGAGGGTCTGCACGTTCAGGCTTTCGACCTTCCGACCCTGCTCAGTGACTCAACCAGGTCTCCCGAAGCGGCCGTCATACAGCTCTTCCAAGAGGTCAAGAGGCACAAGCCCAGCGTAATATACATTCCAAACCTTCAGTCTTGGCTTGATACAGTTGGACCGACGGTCATATCTACTTTCCTGGGCCTTTTACGATCTGTTCCCCCTTCAGATCCTGTTCTCTTGTTCGGCGTCTTGGAGTCGACCGGTGAGGAGGTGGATAATGGGCTGCTCGGCAACATGTTTGGGTTCTCGAAGAAGAACTTTTACGACCTAAAGGCCCCGGATTATGACGCTCGACATAAGTTCTTCGGTAGGGTGATCGACTACGTCAAGACCTCGCCGTCCGAGTTTCCGGATCCCGAAAATCGTAAACGAAGAGAACTCGAGACACTGGAGGTTGCACCTCCTCCTCCACCGAAGCCCGCACCGCCTCCGACCAAGGAGCAGCTCAAGGCCCAGAAGAAGAAAGATCACCAGACCCTGAATTTGCTAAAGATCAGGATCCAGCCCATCATGGACCAGATCAAGAAATACAAGAGGTTCAGGACAGGCGTAATTGACGAGTCGCAAATCCGCTACCTGTGGGAAGAAGATGATCCGAACATTCTTACCAGCGACTTGCCCATTGAGCAGCGAACAACGTTCAGGCCCTTTGAAAAAGCCTTCGATAAGCATGGGGTCCCGGGTCTCCGGGAAACTGTTTCGGGGAAGTTCTTCTACAACATGGAAATTGTGACTATTGAAAAGAGACTTTCCAACGGTTACTATAAGCGACCTAAGGATTTCCTGGCTG